TACTCACATGAGTAACTGAGTACTCACTGAGTAACAATACTCAGAAATTGTTAGTAGTACCAAAATGAGTACTCATGCACGAATTATGAGTAAAGTCGTACTCATCGTATGAGTACTTCCACTAGGGCTGTTACACACTTACCGCTTAATCAGAAAAGTTTCTATATTTTCGAATCCCATATCCTCTGAAATCAAATTTGGAGTTATTTTTAGTCTAGACACGCAAAGTAAAGAAACAATCAACTGGATCATACCGTCTTTAGCGCCGTTAGGTTCGACAATAAAACTTAGCACAAACATCTGTAAAAGCCTTAAAAATAAAATTAAAAGAATTTGATAAAGTGATACTGATAGCACTGATAACAATCGGTTTCGGCAGATCTATATCCCCTTCGCTACTCATTACCAGACACCAAGTTTCGCTTTCCGTCTGAGAACATACTCCGTTCATCACCAAAATTCGAGGGATAGCAGAGCAACATGTGAAGCAAAGAATGCTATACATTTCAACTCATTGAACTTGAGAGATCAAGATAATACGTCTGATACTTTTCTTTCCACAATCAATGTATTTTCAGTTTGTGTAGAGTGAAGCGAATTTAAATTGTCTTGGAAACGAGCGACATTTGTCGCTCTTTGTCTGCAGGGTAAAAACAAACCATAGAAATAGAACAAGCCGAACCTACCTTTTTCTCAGCTATAGGCTACATGCCTTTTTAGTTATATTTGCAACATATACTTCTTGAATAGTGAGTTGCTAGGAGACAGCATTTCTACTCTCAAACGCATGAAAGCTTGAACATTCCTTTAACATTGCTTTTGCTCTTGTTTCTTATCGTAAAAAAATAAATAAATATTCTTCTTCGCTTTGCTACATTCATCAGAAAAAAAGAAAGGATAGAATTTTGCTTGCTAACCTCAGGATTCTCGCAGTCAACGTAGAAAGGACTTTTTTAGTTTCATCTTCTCGTTCGACACGTGTTTTCAGCTATTAATTAGTTGCAGGTTATAACTGCATTGCATTTTTTTTAGCGATCTCTGCGTTTAAAGATGGAAACGTTGGATAAAGACGCTCGATACCAATGGTTAGAAAGTCGAATTGTGTCAACACTACAACCAAAACGTGATGCAATTCAAAGTCTAATCGAAAATGATGAAAATAGGTACGATTGTGTTGACATTTATAAAAATTATTTTACGTCAGTATTGTTATTGTTTTTTTTATTTAGATTAAGTGTCCAAGAATTCCTTGATAATGAAGATGTGACAAATTTGTACATAATCTATCGTTCGTTAACGCACTTGTACGCTCAAAATAGTCCACCTGGACAATCGTTCGACAAAGGACTCCTCTTTATTAAAGCTGCAATAGCAACGAAATTAACAACTGAAAATATCAGTAGGTTGAATTTATATTACACATTATTCTAATTTCTCTTTTAGCTTCATCTTGTAAAAAAAACTAAAAGTATCAGAGGACTTAAAGTGAGAATAGGGTATGAAGATGCATCATCATTTCTCCTCTTTAAAACTAAATACTCCTTTATTCTAAGCCAGATGGCATTTAATCAAGCAGCTCGCTATTTGTCTTTGTATTTAGATACGGATGTCTCATGTATGGAAATATTTTCTGAAATTGTACATTATGTCGATTTGGTTACACGTGACGTGTTTATGCCATTATTTACAATGAATCAATCTGTACCAGATACAGAAAAAGATCGATTTTTAGATTTATTTCATCGAATTATAAATCAAACAGCTGCTACACATACACTCGTTTCTGTACGAATTTTATGTCCATGTTGTTCTAGACCGTCTGTGATTATCTGTTAAATTTTATTTTTTACTAGGAATCAGTTGTTTTACCATTACCAGCATTTAACGTTTTAGCAGAAATTGCACAAACAACACCGGAAAGACAACAAACAGTATTGAATGTACTGGAAACAACTGTAACAAATTGGAGTAAACAAATCAAAGTATGTTCTGAATGAGAGAAATATTAATTAAAAACTTAGGATCAAGAACTTTGAGATAGTTTCTCATGTTATTCTTGACAAATATTACGTTTTATTTTACAAACAGTTTATTAGAGTTAATTCGAGACTACTTTTGTTTCAGAGAATTTAATCTCATTTGGTTCAGCGCGGAGCGAGTATCCAAGTTTTCTAATGAATATTTCAATATGTTTGCCTTTTAACATTAATTATTCAGTTTGTTTTTCATTCCTAGGCATTGTTGCAAGAAGAAATTAAAATATCGTGGGCACCATTGTTATCGCCTGATGATAAAAATTCGCAGCAACAACAACATTTAATTAAAAATGAAATTCAATTGTGGACCAGTCGAATAAATAAATTAAACAATTTACTTGTACAATTAGACTCTCCATTTGTTCAAGATGTATTGAGAAATCTAGCAAGAAATAAAAGTCCATACATCCAATCATTTGTCGACATGAAAGAAAATATAACTAGAGTAGGTGGGTGTTAAATTTATTAAAATAGATAAGATTTTTTGTTTACTATGTTTAGGCTGTATCACATGCTGAGCGAAATTTAAGATTTGCGAGTACATTGACACCGTGGATCTATCAGATCAACAGTACAAATTCTGTGGAAGAAATTGTGAAAATATTACCGTGTTTTATGCATACAGTTTTCCTCATATGGAGACATTCATTGTAAGATTAGTGCATTAGTTTGATTGAAATTGATCTATTTCTATCTTTTATTTTTTAGTTATTATCATCAAAAAGATAAATTTCATCATTTATTACAATTGTTATCGGCCGAACTTGTTCTAAGAGCAAAACGAATGATTGGAAAAGATATATTCTCTAATCCAGAGAGTGTAAGTTGTTTGACCATAGTCGAAAGAAGAGTAAATGAACTAGAATGTTTATCATTCTTTTTTATTTCTTCATCAGACATATGCTGGTCTGAAAGATGCCTTGTCAATTTGTGCAATGTTTCGTGGTACATATTTGGATTACAAAGAAAAAGCGGATGCTTTAAATTCAAAATATATGATACCAGAGAAAAAGTACAGTATTATTCATACAATCTCTCTTTTTTCGTTAATTATAGGTTTTAAAATAAAACATCTGTTTTCTTTTAGAATTGATCCCAGTAAAATGTTAATCTGGCATGTTCATCCCTATGGTGAAGATGATCCATACAAAGATATTCTATCGAACAATGATGAATTTGCTGTATTGAGAAAATCAAGTCCCTGGCCACCGAGAAATGCGTCCTGTTTTCAAACATTGAACGCTTTAATTGAAAGGTGATACATTGTTTCTTTAACTTTGTTATAGCCTCAGATTTTCGAGGTATTACCGTGTTTTTGTTGTAAAGAATGCGCTCGGGGAGATCGCTTATAACTTTTGAAGAAAACGTGATAGAGACCTGCGGTTTTCAACGTTGAATAGAGGATACCGGGGCACGTAAACGTATGCAAAAACTAGGCTTCCAAGTAAGGTGTACTATGGCAAGCCTTTCGATGCAAAATCTACGAGACTGTCGTTTCTGGCTTGTACGATGGATTTTGATTTACAAATAGTGCAATCGATAGCGTGAACCGAGATCTACAATTCTAGACCAGTCTCAAGTCTCTATCTCTTACGATTTAGGAGCTATAAGCATTTTCCCGAAAGTCCCGATTTCGGCCAGTTGACCTTGTGTGATCCTAAAATGAGTCAAAATAGGGGTAATCGATCACGCTGAGTCGAATGGTGATGTTTATTTTTAGTTTCAAACCGATCTAGAGCCACTATATCAGGACTTCTGAAATATCCACTCTATACGCAACATAGCGGTAGAATGCTGGAATTTGAAAATCTTGACATAGTGACATTAGGTCGGTTTGAAACTAAAAATAAACATCACCACTCAACTCAGCGTGGCTGATTACGTCTATTTTGACCCATTTTAGGATTACCCGAGGTCAACTGGTCGAAATCGAGACTCTCGAAAAAATGCTTATAGCTCCTGAACCGTAAGAGATAGAGAGTGGAGACTAGTCTAGAATTATAGATCTCTGTTCGCGCTATCGATTGCACTATTTGGAAATCAAAATCCATCGTACAATCGGAACGGCAGTCTCGTAGATTTTGTATTGAAAGGCTTACCATGGTACACCCTTCCTAGAGGCCTAGTCGTTTGCATACGCTTACGTGCTCCGATGTATTCTATCCAACGGTGAAATCCGCAGATCTCGATCACGTTTCCTTCAAAAGTTATAAGCGGTCTCTCCAAGCGCATTCTTTCAAAAAAATGGTAATAGTATTACTCATGAAGTCTACAGTCTTTTTTTGCATAAACTATTTTAGATGTAATGATGTTCAAGAATTAACATCCACAATTCGTCAATTTAACATTTTATCTGAAACAGCAAAAATTGGTGGAACATTAACAAAGACAATGGATACGATGGTAAAATTCGAATACGTTTTAAATCAATGCTAATATTCTTTTATTCTCTCATTCTCATCTATGTATTTTGTGTAGGTATCTGAAATACAATTAAAATATAAACTAGCTTTAGAAAATTTTACACAATCGGTAGACGATGATGTAATGGACATTTCACATAAATCAGAAAAATTTGAACAAGCTTTTTTCTATTTACGTACAAAATTAAAACAATTGGAACATGAATTAGCTTGGATATTAAAACAATGTTTTCAACGTTCATATACATTGTATTCAAAATTAAATTTAATTGATGTATTTCGTGGTGCATACGAACGAGAAGCAATACAACGTGAATTAAATACCGAAGAAAAATGGATGATACAAAATTTATTTGATGAATTTGAACAAGTGCAAAAAATGATTGGAATACAATCAACGGAATCAGCTGCCTATACTTATTTGCCAACAACCATAAGAAAATTATTGTATTATCATGGATTGAAAGAACGAATAAGAGTAAGCAATTAAACAGTATCTTTCTAAGAATTAAAGAAATAGTATAACATCAAATTGAAGTACAATAAAGTAAAGTTAAACCAAAATACGTTGTTTTCGTTTAGGAACCAATGCAACAGTTTACCGACTTATGTCCAAGAATAATAAATAGTGATACTGGATGGGAATTGAGAGAAGCCTATCGTGTTACTATGGAAAAAATTGATGCGTGAGTTCATGTGTATGAAAAATAATTACAGACAATTTAGAAAAAATGAAATAAAATTATCTTATTTTAGAGTAAAAGATGAAATATACGCAAGATGGGAAACATCGGCATCAAGTCAAATATCTGATCAACTATTACAACCCGTTTTTGTAAGTATTGTATAAATGCACTCTATTTTCGAAGTAATCCGACAAAATATAATCGACTTTCGACAGTTTTTTGAATAACTTTTGATAGTTGGAACAGAGACTTGCGATTATCACAAAAAATTGATACAGACAAGACCGTTGGACATTGATGTATGAATATGTCAAGTTCTAGTCACCATCTGGAAATGATGTGTCTTACAAATGAAAATCGTCATCTATAATGATTCCGACGTGCGAAACCTTTTCTTAAGACATCTCTATTCGATGACGTTGGGATCTGGTAACCTCAGATGCAATTGGACCATGGTTTATAACCATGCTTACGAGAGGGCCTCGCGAACTGACACATCGCTTTTTCAGTCAAACCTAGTGGGTTATAGGTTATCAACTATGCTGAATCCGAATATCATAGTGATAGCTGTTCAGGGACCTTCAGAGAGCGGCTTTCTGAAAAATCAGTTTTTCAGGAACTCTATAAAAGTTACCAAAACCTTTTCGTAATGAGGTACAATTGTAGCCCGCATATGTCTGATTAAAATGAGATATCTCCCAGCTCCACATGATCTTTCTTTATAAAGTTATAGAATTTACAAGAAAAGCCCTAAATGTTCATTGTCAGCTCAAAGCTACAAAAATAAAAATAAATTAATTTAGGACTTTACTTGTAAATTCTATAGCTTTATAAAGAAAGGTCATGTAGAGCTGGGAAATGTCTCATTTTAATCAGACATATGCGGGCTACAATTGTGCCTCATTAAGAAAGGTTTGGTTACTTTTCAGAGTTTCTGAAACTCTGGTTTTCCACAAAGCCGCTTTCTGAAGGTCCCTCGGCGGCTATCACTATGATATTCGAATTCAGCATAGTTGATAAGCTATAACCCACTAGGTTTGACTGAAAAAGCGATGTGACAGCTCACGAGGTTCCCTCGTTAGTCTCGTAGCAGCGTTTGTCTCCATAAAACATTTTTAAAAAGAAATCAGTCAAAACCTACTCTAGGTGACATAACTCATTAAACTGGAAAAAAAGTTCGTACTTCACTTAAAATCCGATCAAAACACTTACAAATATATTCTGTTTAGATGCTTTCACTTTGTTAGATCTCAAAAAAAAGATTTTGCAGAAAACTTCGGAAATACGAATAAATTTTTTCGCATTTGTACCACATCCTCTAAAATAGAATATATTTTGAGGTTTCCATACCGTCGGGTCATCGGATAAGGATGCACATCCGAATAGTGTGATCGATGGCGATGTCGAACTTAGGCAGATCTGTAGAGCAGAGTCTTGCAGTTGGAAGTCTCCTGTTGGAGTTAGAATTTAATGCCTTTTCATGGAATGGGAGTCTCACTTTTTTTTTCATTTGTAAAGCAACTTAGAACCAGATAGTTAAAAATCTTCCATCGGAATACAAATTACGAACTGAAATGCATAATATGAAAAATAAGAGCCACTTGTTTTCTTTAATTAATTCAATTTTCTAGAAAACTATTATATTTGATGAAACAGTTGATATTCGTGCTCAAGCAGTTGAAGTTAATTTTGATCCAGAATTAGAATGTTTATTGAGAGAAATTCATTATATAACAAGTGCTCCATTAAATTATCCATTACCATCAAAATTTCGTGAATTATTACCAATTATTCATGATGACAGTTCATTTCGGTAAGACTTTTTCTTAATAAGTCTATATATATCAACATGTACACAGTATCTCTCGTATAGATTATGGGCCACTCGTCTACGAGCAATAGTATCAAAATATAATTATCTTATGAGACAAATGCAACCAGAAGAACGAAATATATTTGAACCAAAATTAGTTAAAATAGATGAGGTTTATTTTGTCTCAATAAAAAGTTTTCTATAATAAGAAAATATAATTATCTATTTTTTAGATTATTCGTAAAGGTACAACATTGTATAATTGGAAAAGTCTTGATTTATCTGATTTTATTGAACAAGCTGATGGTCTTATTTGTTTGGATGCTGCTAAATCTTTAGAAATAGTACAAGCACATGTAAATACTATACGTTCATTAGCCTATGAATGGTCAAATATTAATTCAGATATATTTGCATATTATGTTGTCAATGATGAAGGACAAACATCACTATGTAAAACATTTAAAAATGCACAACAAATGCAAACGTATGTGTATAGAAATGAATAATTTGTTGTTTCTTGCTTTTTTAACTACACGAATCGAATATATTTTGTCATTTGTTAAATATCTTTTAGATCATTAGAAGAAAAACTCCGAGAAAAATTAGTTATCGATGGACATCGAATACATGCGTTGGTCGATGAAATATTCAATGTAAATAATTCATTCGTTAATTTTGTGAAACTCCCTTCAAGTGTTCGCAGAAGACGGAGTTTTAGTTATATACTCAAAAAAGAGCGTTATCATAGGTTTTTTTTTAACCTATTTAAAATCTGATATCACTTTCGATCACAAACTCTTAAAATGGCGGTCACCACTCTAGTGAATGTTCTCATGCGTGAGTACTCCCAAAGTACTCTGCTAGAAAAACCGGACGAGTACTCATACACTTTGAGTAATCATTGAGTACTGTGAGGACAACTTTGAGTGCTCATGCTAGAGTATTGTTGAGTACGCATATAACTTTTGGCAAAATACTCATGAGTATTGCCATCTGATATTTTCATATAGAGGAGTGATCTCAGGCAGCCAGAGTTGGACTACAAGTCTATTCACAGACGAATCCATCTGTGACTATATACAGAGAGACCAGCGAGAAAAATATCATATAAATATTCTATGTTTCTTTACCAAATTCTGCGTTCTTTATACAATTTCATGTTTGCAAAACAAAATGGTGAATGAATATTTTTGAATACTCACATAGTAACTGAGAACTCACTGAGTAAAAATATTCAAAAGTTGTTAGTAGAACTCATATGAGTAGCCATGGACGAATTATACGTAAAGTCGTACTCATAGTATGAGTACTTTCACTCGGGCACCTCTTACGTACCTGTCTGATATCGAGTGATATCAGGGGAATGTTTTTCAGATAATCACAACCTCTTGATTGATCGGTCATAATCTCTCAAGAGAATGGTCACAACATCTTAATCAGACGGTCACAACCTTTAAAGACGACGGCTCTCCAGCCAAAAAACAATATCAAGAGGAGGAGTATGTTAGAGCACTCTTTTTGGGAAAAAAAGAAAGGAGTACTCTTTTTCACAAAAAGAGTTCTCCAAAAAAGAAGTTCTCTCAATAACCCCTTTTTAAGAAGTACTCCGGAGTGCTTGAAGTGTATGTTCTCAAAAGGAGTGCTTCAAAAACTACAATGGAATACCCACAAAAAATGATTGCCCTTGAGTGCTCCTTTTTTTGAAGTGCTCCGCAGTACCTTGACTACACTTTATAAAAAGGAGTGCTCTTTGGGAAAAAGAGTACTCCTTTCTTTCTTTCCAAAAAGAATGTTCCATCATACGCCTCCTTTTAATGTTTCTCTTTGACTGAGATACAACCTCTTAATCGGTTGGTCACAACCTCTTATTCGTTCCCGCTGATTTTTATTGACCTATTTTGATCAGTATAGGGAGTTTCACCTTTTAGTATCGAACATACCACCCTGACAAGATTTTTTTGGTAAAAACAATTTATCTCTTTGTTTAATAGGTTGTGAGTGTTAGCGAAGCAGCACCCGCTTGGCAAGAATATATTGATTATATTAATGAAATGATCTTAAACGGTATTAAAGCAACAACGTTAATTAGTTTGAAAAATATGCTTATCACAATGACAGATGAACAGGTTTTAATTCATTTATTTGAATAGAGTTTTTCTAATATATTTTTGTTTACATTATTTCTTTTTTTTAGAAAAAAATTCCGCCAATCTGTATACTCGTAGAATTAATTGATGATCAATTAACTTATGATCCTCCATTAGTCGAAGAGACAAGTCAATTGAGTTTACAAGAGAATTTAAATTTATGGATGAATGATTTTATTCAACGGGGATTATCTATTGAAATTCTTGGAAATAATAAGGTAACGATAAATAAAGAAAAAAATTTTATTCTTATTAAAAAACAATTTAGGAATTTTTCTCTCTATTATTTTAGATGACCTATTCAAATTCCATTTCTCAAGATTCACTTGTCATTGATTTAATTGATAAAATTCGTTCTTATATTGATGGTGCTTGTTTAGAATGTCAAAAATTATTTACATTTTTTGATGAATATTCATTTTTATATCGATTACCGGTCAATCAATCGTTTGAACATTTTTTACATGGTGAAAAACGTATTGCATCCAAAGAACCAACAAATAAAAGAAATTTTATTAATGAACATGATGCAGGAAGACGGTAGGCTGTGATTAGTTATGTTTTAAAAATTAAACAAAACATTTCATCTTTAATATATCATTATTTTAGTTTTTCATTAGTAATCAGGTATTCATTTTGAGATTAAGCACACCATTTTACTTTTGTATAGGAATACATTATACTTGTAATGTATGTAGATGTTGTCTTACGTACTGCACTTGAACGACGATCTTTTTTTGAAATACAGAGTTGCGAGAAATGTTTTGTCCGGGGGGCATAGCTCCAATGACAAATGATATCAATATTGAATTTTATACCAAAATGAAAGCTCGTGAAAAATGGGGTTAACAGGTATAGTTGGTAATGTGATCGATAGTCATTGACTATAGGTTTACTGAAAATTTTAGGATAGGGAAGGAAATACGACTGAGAAAACTTTTTTTCAG